GATGTCTTTTTCTGATGTTGTATCGATGTAGCAAGCACGTTTAAGAATCGTGACAGCTATTTTTTGATGTTATCTGCCTTTACCATTGTCATACTCAACGTTATGGATTTCTTGTTTGTGCTTGCTATGCTTTGTTATTGACCTGTATGTTTCCCTTAAGCTAATGCACGAAAATACAACCTTCATTTTCTTAAATCTGCTGCAGGTTCCTATTTCCTGTTGCTTGACTGTGACTGCGGTAAACACCAACGTCCTCTTTTACTAGTGTCAATGGACCATGCAACATCGCATGATCAAAGATATTGACTTCTGTTAGTGCTGAGGATACAGTGTGTGAATCAGATAACGGTAGTTTCTTGAATAAATTCTTAAATGGATTGAATTGGTAGCTACAATGCGCTCATCTGGACTTGTTGACCCTGGATGGGACCATGGCGTTGCTCAAGATGAGAGGAAGAAAAAGGTTAAATGCAATTACTGTGGAAAAATAGTTAGTGGTGGAATATACAGATTGAAGCAACATTTAGCCCGAGTTTCTGGAGAAGTTACTTATTGTGATAAAGCTCCAGATGATGTATACTTTAGTATGAAAGAAAATATGAAAGGAAGCCGTTCTCAAAAGAAACCTAGGCTTTCCGAAGATATTGGCCAAGCATATCTGAATTTCCAATCCAACGATGACGAAGAAGATGTGCATGTTGGTTATAGAAGCAAAGGAAAGCAATTGGTGGGTGAGAGGAATTTAACCATGAAATTGACTCCTCTTCGGTCGTTGGGGTATGTTGACCCTGGGTGGGAACATGGCGTTGCTCAGGATGAGAAAAAGAAAAAGGTGAAATGCAATTATTGTGAGAAAATAGTTAGTGGTGGTATCAATCGGTTTAAACAACATTTAGCTAGAATTCCTGGAGAAGTAGCACCTTGTAAACATGCTCCTGATGATGTCTATGTTAAAATAAAGGAGAATATGAAATGGCATCGTACTGGAAGGAGACAGAGACAACCCGATTCCAAGGACACGTCAAATTTTGATCCTCTGTCAGATAATGAAGACCAAGACGATGACCAAATGGAAGCTGTTCTACCGCATATGAGCCAGGAAAGCTTGATTGATGGTGATAGGAGATTGGGCCAAAATTTGAGAAATACATTCTTGTCGCTGCCTCCCAGCACTGGTTCTGAACCATTATTTAAAAGATCAAGGCTCGATTCTCTGTTCTTGACAGCTCCTAAGAGTTTTCCACCACAATCTTACAAGCAAGCAAGGGTCAGAACAATGTCAAATAAAATTCCCCACAAGGAAGTTATTTCTGGAATTTGCAAATTCTTTTACCATGCAGGAGTTCCTCTACAAGCAGCAGACTCCCTATACTTTCATAAGATGCTGGAATTGGTTGGCCAATATGGGCAGGGTATGGTTGCACCTCCAAGCCAAATAATATCTGGTCGGTTTCTACAAGAGGAAATTGCAACCATTAGAAACTACCTGGCTGAGTATAAGGCATCATGGGCAACCACTGGCTGTTCTATTATGGCCGACAGTTGGAAAGACACAGAGGGTAGAATATTGATAAACTTGTTGGCTTCCGGTCCAAATGGTGTGTACTTTGTTTCTTCAGTTGATGCCACTGAAATAGTTGAAGATGCTTTGAATTTGTTTATGTTGCTGGACAAAGTGGTTGAAGAGATGGGGGAGGAAAATGTAGTTCAGGTATGTGATTTTATTTGGGTTTTATTTGTTTCTCATATAGTTGCCCATCTCGAACTGTCTTACGCTACTAACTTTGCTTTGCGTCTAATCCCCAGGTAATCACTCCAAATACTCCTAGTTATAAAGCTGCTGGAAAGATGCTTGAGGAGAAGAGAAAGAATTTATTCTGGACCCCATGCGCCACCAGTTGTATCGATCAAACGCTTGAAGATTTTTTGAGGATAAGATGCGTAGCAGAGTGCATGGAGAAGGGCCAAAAAGTTACAAAGCTCATTTACAACCAAGTTTGGTTGTTAAATTTTATGAAGAGTGATTTCACACAGGGGAAGGAGCTTTTGAGATCATCTATCACCCGGTTTGCTTCTAGCTTTGCTACCTTACAAAGCTTGCTGGACCACAAGACTGGTCTTAAAAGAATGTTTCAATCACACAAATGGATTTCATCTCAATGCTCCAAATCATTTGAGGGAAAAGAAGTGGAAAATATTGTCTCAAATGCTGCATTTTGGAAGAAGTTACAGTTTGTTAGGAATTCAGTGGACCCGATAATGCAAATTCTTCAAAAGGTTGAGAATGGTGACCGCTTGTCAATGTCATCTATATATAATGACATGTACAGGGCAAAGATTGCAATAAAAACCATTCATGTCCGTAAATATGAACCATTTTGGAGCATTATAGAGAGTCATTGGAACACACTGTTCTACCACCCTGTATATGTAGCTGCTTACTACTTAAATCCATCATACAGATATCGACCTGATTTTATGGCGGTAGGAGAAACAATGGCTGCTTGTGTTTTTTATCATGATGTTAAGTTCTTTCCTAATCCAGATGGTAATTTGTGTAGCATACTGAGGTGATGCGTGGACTTAACGAATGCATTGTTCGGCTGGAGCCAGACAATTCAAATAGGATTTCTGCATCTATGCAGGTAATAGTTTTTTTGTACTCGATTTCATTATTTGGATCCTGAATGGTTTTATATATTGAGATGGGTCTTATTATATTTTCCCATTCTGCATCCCAACATCTCAGATTTCTGATTACAATTCTGCTAAAGCTGATTTTGGAACTGAATTGGCAATCAGTACAAGAACAGAGCTTGATCCAGGTATAGCATTAGACTGCCATGCTACATGTTTTAGATTTCCGGTATATGTAACCCATGCATTGAGCCTCTGGGCGTTATTCCACTTGCTGATACATTTCTCCGTTTTTGTTTCTTGTTTCTTATTAGCTGCATGGTGGCAACAACATGGGATAAGTTGCTTAGAGCTGCAGCGTATAGCTGTGCGTATATTGAGTCAGACATGCTCGTCTTTTGGGTGTGAGCATAACTGGAGTATATACGATCAATTGTACTGTCTGAGAAGTAATCGTTTAGCCCAAAAAAGGTTAAACGACCTCATCTACGTTCATTACAATTTACGTCTTAGAGAACAGAAATTACGGAGAAGGCCGGAAAATTCAACCTCCCTCGACAATGTGCTGTTAGAGCGGTTGCTAGATGACTGGATTGTAGATGCTGCGGAAAATGACTTGCTAGAAAATGAGGTATTTCAAGTGTAGGTTCTATTATGCGGTAGAGTGGCTTAGTTTTGTGCCATTGACACCAAAAGCTTCCTTACAAAACTACACGAAATCTTATACATTTTCTGAAATCAAGTTCTTTATCATTTCTCTGTTAGGAAGTCCTTTACAATGAAATCGAACAGGTTGATGAATACGAGAATGATCTCGTTGATTACGAATGTGGAATTGCAAATGGAGAGACTAGGAACGGATCCATTGAGCTGGTGACCTTGGCTGATGCAGATGTCAATCCGGCCAATGCTGGCGTTGCCACCGAAGATGATGACGAGGAGGAGGAGGAGGGGGCGGAAGGTGAGATGAACTTTTTCCATGATGACTTGAGTGATTAGCAAGTTGTAGACCTTCAACTAACACAAGATGCAATGGTGGTAAGGAAGCTGTGCCTTAGTGGTGTAATTATATTCCAGCTTACTTGTTTTGCAAGTTACCTATGGAAGTAAAACAGGGCGTCCTTACATGTAAATATTCGTCATCCTTTTTGCTGAAATGTTACTAACTCAACCGCTTTTTGAATTTCCAAAGCCTTTACATTGTCTAATATGATTTTATGTTAGATACACGTAACGGAATACAAATATCAGACAAATTCAGAAGAAAAAGAAAGTATTAAACGGTGGATACATAAAAAAATTTAAAATTTTAAAATCTTGCAAAATATAGGAGGTTCAAATTATTTTCTGAAAATTTCAAAATAAACCGATTCCGAAATTACCAACCAAGTTTCTTCTTTTTTCATTTATTATTTTCTTAAACTTCACATGTTTATAAACAGCTTACTCACTATTATCTTAGCATTGTGACGTTCTAATATTTTGGTTAAGTTATTAATAAAGCCTGTAAATAAAAAAACAAAACCAAAACTTTGGTGGGGCAGGATGATTGAGTACAATTGACCACCGGACATCGAAATAGGACGGGTGTGTTAAAAACGATAGAAGTGGTCAGTTTGGCCACTATAAATCATTTTTGTTCTTTCGTGAAAAATATGTCAATATTCTCGATAAGTGGAGCAGTTGGTTTGACAAAAATACTCTTAAAAATATGGTCACGTAGTTGTTCATATTACAATTTAACAAGGATATTGATTGGTTTTTTACAGAATGACCAAAATGATTTATGGTGAACAAACGTAGGGACCATTTCTATCTATTTTCATTGTCAAAGGCCAAAGTAAGGATCATGTCAATCTCAATGATCATTTTGACTAGAAAAACCTTTCATCCATAACTGAAATGTCAAATCAACCCAAGGTTACCATTACATTTCCACACTCTTTTTAGCCAAAATGATCTTTGAAATTTGTATAACTCCTTACCTTAGTCCCCTAACATTTAAAATCGATAGAAGTGGTCCATAAGTTTGTCCATCGTAAATCATTTTGATCATTCTGTGAAAAATTTCAGTTAAATAGAAAAGCATATGGAGGGGTTGATTAGATAAAAATACCCCCAATTTAACTGAGATTTATTGACGATGGACAAACTCAGAACCACTTCTATTGATTGTCAATCTAAATGACTAAAGTGATAAGTTATGTCAATCTCAGAGACCGTTCTAGCTAAAAAACTTCCAAAAAATAAAAAGAAAACTCGTCCCATCAAAGCAAAAATAAGTAGAGAACTTGAATTGCATTTCTTCCAACTCAATTCAACAAAGTAACAACCTTTTTTTCTCTCCTTACGCAAAAAATCACCAACCCATTTCCAAAAAGTGGTATAAAGCTTGTTTCTTCAATACTAAAGTTGCATCTACCATGTTTGTAAAGTATGTTTCCAATCCATAGACTATATATTCTCTCCATTAGCAGTTTTGCTTTCCTTGGCTTTGTCTTTTGATTTGATTCTTCGTTTTCGTGTTAATTAGGGCTTAATTGCATGTGTGTTGTGGAGGATGGAATTTAGTCTTGTGAGGTTGCAAAGATATGTTCTCCGTAGCTTTCTTTTTCTTCTTTTGATGTATAATACTCACAAGAATTAGCTTCCTTGCATTGCATGGTTGCTATGTGAAGCTTTTGAATTTTTTATTTTTTTTTAAGAATAATATTTCATGGCAAACTTTTGGCTGAATGATTTTTTAATTTTTGGACGAATAATCAAACTCTATATTATATTACAAGAAATTTGTCATCCATTCTTTGGAGAACTATATTTTTTTTAAGGAATTTTTTTGAAATGTCATATGAACTTATACACTTTTTTAGTTTGTCATACAAATTAAATTTTTAAACGATTTGTCATATCAATCTTCCAAAATTCTTAATTTGTCATCTTATCTCAACCCCGTTAAATTTTCCATCCAAAATAATTCACGTGCATTGCACATTAGTTGTGTTTAGGGTAATTTCAGACTTTCGACCTCATTTGCACAAGTTTTTTTTTTATTTTTTTTTTATTTTTATACAAGGATATATTTATACTAGGAGGTGGAGGAAGAAATTGATTTTGGACATTTGACCTTTTTTCACAAGCTACTTCTCTTTGGTATGAACCCAAAAATTTTGACTAGTAATAAAAAGTATGTCGCGTTCATTTCAAAAACTTAAGGTGAACTACTAAAAAATTATATTAGGCTTATTAACATGGAGTTTAACTAATTACAAGCTTTGAGAATTTAATGCGATCCACTTGTTCTTTAAAAAAGGAGTTGAAATGTCAGAAATAATCTTGAAAGAGTGTGTTGAGTTAAAAAGTTGGAAATAACCTTGAAACCAAGTCATTTGTAAGGCACATGGCTTATTTTGGGTGGCAAACTTAACAGAGTTATGATGAAATGACAAATTAATGATTTTGGAAAGTTGATATGACAAATTTCTCAAAATTTTAGTTTATATGACAAATTAAAAAAGCTGTACAAGTTCATATGATGTTTCAAATTTTTTTTCATTTTTAAAAAGAAAGTTTGGTTGCCAATTCAAACAATAAATAGTTCCTGTTGCAGCTCTGATCTCACCACCTAAGTTGTCTGACTTGCTTTGTGTTGTAAACCAAAGCAACCAACTTTCTGAAGTGCTGCTGCTCGTCAAAAACAGCAAGTTAACAGTAAGACATGGCTGAGGTAAATCCTGTGGATGGAGAGGCAGTCAAGGAGCGGGACGTGGCAGCATCAAACGGCGATTCAACCGCGGAGGATTCCGAAAACAATGCGCAAGATATGAGCAAGAGCAAGGAGGATGGCACCAAAACAGTACCATATTACAAGCTTTTCTCCTTTGCTGATTCCTTGGATTACATGCTAATGTCTGTTGGTGTGATCAGCGCCATTGGAAACGGGCTGTGTCTGCCTCTAATGAGTGTAATCATAGGAGATATGATTAATTCTTTTGGAGGAACTGGGAATACCAAAGATGTGGTGGGTGCAGTTTCTAAGGTAAATATTCTGCGGCTAAAACCAAGTAAAAACTTTTCTTTACGAATACAAATTCACTAGGAATCAAGGACTTTATAGGACTTGGAATCATGGACTCGATTCAAACCTTGTCTAGTCAAACGGTCGTTCCATTACAATTTGTGTCTGAACTTCCTTTTTTTGAACTTTTAATTTGGCTTCTGGTGTCTGCGGTTTAGTTGCTAAATAGGATCATATCCTCAGGTAGCTCTAAAGTATGTTTACTTGGCCGTGGGAGCTGGTGCTGCTGCATTTCTGCGTAAGTATTACTGAGCTCCCTTCCAGTATTGAACAAATAACTTGGCTTATTGGAAACTGAGATAATCAATTTGCTTTTGCTATATGTCAGAGATGTCTTGCTGGATGATCACCGGAGAGAGACAGGCTGCACGAATAAGAGGGTTATATTTGAAAACAATATTAAGGCAAGATGTTGGTTTTTTTGATAACGAAATAAACACTGGGGAAATTATTGGGAGGATGTCAGGTGATACTGTGCTCATTCAAGAGGCCATGGGCGAGAAGGTATCTACACGCCACAAAAAAGCCTTAAGTGATTGCCATTTTCTCTAGCAGTCTCTAATTTTTTTCATGTTCTTCTTGCAGGTAGGAAGATTTATCCAATTAATTGCAACATTCATCGGAGGCTTTATTATAGCATTTGTTAAGGGATGGCTTCTCACCCTTGTCATGCTATTGTCTATTCCCCTTCTTGTCTTCTCTGGGGCCATGATGGGCATCGTTATATCGAAGTTGGCATCCCGTGGGCAAACTGCTTATTCACTGGCATCAACTGTGGTAGAGCAGACAGTTGGTTCAATCAGAACTGTATGCCTACTTTGTCTTTAAAATAAAATTTTATTTTCTATAATCTCTTGTTATAAAACAAAAATGATGAGTATTCGCATTGCAGGTTGTCTCATTTACAGGAGAGAAACATGCCATAGCTAATTACAACAGCTCCTTAATTAAAGCTTACAAGTCGGGTGTGCACGAGGGTCTGGCTTCTGGGTTTGGGATTGGTGCTATGAGGCTTATTGTAATGTGTAGTTATGGTTTGGCCATATGGTTTGGCGGAAAGATGATAGTTGAAAAAGGATATACAGGAGGAGAAGTAATGAATGTAGTTTTTGCTGTGTTGAATGGCTCACTGTAAGTTGCAATTTAGTAAAATTTGATCAATAAATTTGGTGACCCTAGCATGATTTTACTGTTAACACCCCAAAATTTTATATTTGATGCTACAGAATGTCGAGATATGAACATGTCTCTGTGATAAATTTTCAGGTCCCTTGGGCAGGCATCTCCATGCATGAGTGCATTTGCTGCTGGAAAAGCTGCAGCTTATAAAATGTTTGAGACGATTAACAGAAAGCCTGAGATAGATACTTATGACACTAATGGGGAGCAGTTACAAGAGATCCATGGAGACATTGAACTGAGGGATGTTTATTTTAGCTATCCTGCAAGACCAGATGAACAAATATTCCGTGGATTTTCTCTCTCAATACCTAGTGGTGCAACTGCTGCTTTGGTTGGAGGAAGCGGAAGTGGTAAATCAACTGTAATCAGTTTAATTGAGAGATTTTATGACCCCCAAGCTGGTGAAGTTCTTATCGATGGTATTAATCTGAAAGAATTCCAGCTGAAATGGATCAGACAGAAAATAGGCCTTGTCAGTCAGGAACCCGTTTTGTTTACTTGTAGCATTAAAGATAACATTGCTTATGGGAAGGACCGTGCAACTAATGATGAAATAAGGGCTGCTGTTGAACTTGCTAATGCAGCTAAATTCATAGACAAACTGCCTCAGGTTAAATTCGTTTATACTTCCTCTGAGTTTGGGTGTTTCTTTGTTGATCTTACCATTTCGACACATTAAAAGATGGAAACATAGCATAATTCAGCTCATTCGATTCATTTTTTAGGGACTAGACACAATGGTTGGTGAACATGGAGCTCAGCTATCTGGGGGACAAAAGCAGAGAGTTGCCATAGCTAGAGCAATCTTGAAAGACCCAAGAATTCTACTTTTAGACGAAGCCACAAGTGCTCTCGATGCAGAATCTGAGAGAGTTGTGCAGGAGGCATTGGATAGAATTATGATTAGTCGCACTACTGTCGTTGTAGCCCATCGTTTGAGCACAGTAAGGAATGCTGACACCATTGCTGTTATACATAGAGGGACAATTGTTGAAAAAGGTAACACATTTGTTTTCTGTTCCACCATTTGAGTTCCCAGCCTTACTTTACAAAAAAAAAAAAAATTTGAAGTATCGTTACCATAATCTGAATTAATTAATGAGTACTGCACATACTGAACTCTTCAAGTGAGCAGGACCACATTCTGAGCTAATTAAGGACTCTGAGGGAGCATATAGCCGGCTTATAAGGTTGCAAGAAATGAGCAGAGTGTCAGAAAAGACGACTGTGAATGATCAAAATAGGCCAGAAATTAGTAGTGTGGATTCTCGGAGACATGCAAGTCCAAGATTTTCAAACTTACGATCCATAAGCTGGGGATCATCTGGGAGAGGAAATAGTGGTCGTCATTCCCTCTCAATCTCATTTGGTGTGCCCACTGCAGTAGGTGTCCTTGAAGCAGCACATGCAGGATCAGATATTCCTGACTCAAAATCATCAAGAGTGCCTCCAGAAGTCTCGCTTCGCCGCCTAGCTTACCTGAACAAGCCAGAGATCCCAGTCTTGTTACTAGGTACTATAGCTGCAGCGGTCGATGGGGTATTCTTACCTTTTTTGGGGGTATTATTTGCCTGTGTAACCAAAACCTTCTTTGAGCCACCGCATGAAGTCCGAAAGGATTCAAAGTTCTGGGCATTAATCTGTATTGTTCTTGGACTGGGATCTTCCATAGCACATCCATTAAGACAATACCTTTTCGCTGTCGCGGGTTGTAGGTTAATAAAACGAGTCCGATCGATGTGCTTTGAGAAGGTGGTTTACATGGAAGTAAGTTGGTTTGACGATCCTGAGCACTCAAGTGGTGCAATTGGTGCAAGGCTTTCTGCAGATGCAGCTTCTTTGCGGGGGCTGGTTGGAGATGGTCTTGGTTTGGTTGTTCAGAACTTAGCAACTGCAGTTGCTGGTTTGGTGACTGCTTTTATGGCAAATTGGCAACTTTCTCTTATAGTTCTTGTTTTGCTGCCTCTGTTAGGAGTAAATGGATATTTTCAAGTCAAATTCATGAAAGGATTCAGTGCGGATGCGAAGGTATTTCTCTGCAATCCAAAAATTGGAAAAGAATTATAGTATACAACTTGTAATCGATGCAGTTCAAAACATGATCCGATCTCACATACATGATATGTATAAGGCTAATTTTTATCATTATGGTTGCAGAAAATGTACGAGGAGGCAAGCCAAGTAGCGAATGATGCTGTAGGGAATATCAGAACAATTGCTTCCTTCTGTGCCGAAGAGAAGGTGATTGAATTGTACCAGAAAAAATGTGAAGGCCCAATTAAGAAAGGGATTAGACAAGGGTTAATCAGTGGGATAGGATTTGGGCTATCCTTCTTTTTTATGTATTCCGTGCACGCCACTAGTTTTTACGCAGGAGCCCGACTTGTTTCAGCTGGAAAGACAACATTCTCCGATGTTTTCCGAGTAAGTTATTTTACCTTGCCCTACAAGTCTGTAAGTAGTAAACGGCACAGAAAACTGGTTCCTATGTCTGAACTCTGCTAAACAAGTACTTGTTACTTGAAGTAAAAAAAATTGCTCTTCTGGTTTGTAGGTTTTCTTTGCTCTCACTATGGCAACAGTTGGAGTGTCTCAGTCGGGTTCCCTAGCCCCTGATGTAAGTAAAGCAAAGAGCTCTGCTGCTTCTATATTTGCGATTCTCGATCGAAAATCAACAATAGACTCCAGTGACGAATCTGGAACAACTATAGAAAATGTGAAGGGAGAAATTGAATTACGCCACGTCAACTTTAAGTACCCAACTCGACCTGACGTGCTAATCTTCCAGGACCTTTGCTTGACCATTCGTCACGGCAAGGTAACTTAGTAGCATGCTGATTCTTCTTTTACTCGTTTTCACTTAATTCATAAGATTGAACCTCGTAGTCTAATATGCAATTTTGGAAATGTATTTTGTGTTTTCAGACAGTTGCTCTGGTTGGAGAAAGTGGAAGTGGGAAATCGACAGTCATCTCATTGTTGCAGAGATTTTATGATCCTGATTCTGGTCACATTACACTAGATGGAATCGAAATCCAAAAGCTACAGTTGAAGTGGTTGAGACAGCAAATGGGGCTAGTGAGCCAGGAGCCTGTGTTGTTTAATGAAACCATCCGAGCCAACATTGCATATGGAAAGGAAGGGGATGCAACAGAAGCTGAAATTATAGCTGCAGCAGAATTGGCAAACGCTCACAAGTTCATTAGTAGTTTACAACAGGTAGGCACTTACTTGAGAACTTCGTCGATTTGTTTATGATCAATACTCTGAAAATAATGGTCGAGCCACCTCAAATAGATGACGATTTCGAAGTTCCATACGAAAACATAAAGATCAAGCCAAATCAGTCATGAAGATTTCGATCTTTATGTTTGTGATGCATGTTCGTATTACTTATCACTGAAAAAATATTACGGTGTTGCTTACAAGACAATGACTAGTTAATGAAGTTTTACAAAATTATTCAGAATGTTAACTGCGGAAACCAATGCAGGGTTACGATACAATAGTAGGAGAGCGGGGGGTTCAACTGTCCGGCGGACAGAAGCAAAGGGTGGCAATCGCAAGGGCTATAATGAAGGCACCAAAGATTTTACTACTAGATGAAGCCACAAGTGCTCTTGACGCTGAATCCGAACGAGTTGTTCAAGACGCATTGGACCGAGTCATGGTGGATCGAACCGCGGTGGTGGTTGCTCATCGGTTATCCACGATTAGGAGTGCAGATTTAATCGCGGTGGTGAAAAATGGAGTCATTGCAGAGAAAGGAAAGCATGAAACTTTGATCAATGTCAAGGATGGCATTTATGCTTCTTTGGTTGCATTCCATGCAAGTGCCTCATCTTAGTGATCTGCTTTTCAATTATTATACTGCAGTAACTTAGAAATTCCAAGGAAAATAGGTATGCATAAGCTTATTTTAGGTGATTCTCACTTTACTGCCCTCAAGTATCATGAAATTTGTACTTTGCTTCTCTCTGTTTTTTTTTCCGTCTCTCTTTCATACTTAAAGTTATGATTTGCTCCCAAAATCAAACTTTCATTAGTCTAGCCTTTAAATTCTTCGTTAAACAATGACGTGGCAGGTCTTGGCTCATTATAGTTTGATAGGTTTACACTTCACATAAATTTTCCCTTTTAACTTCCCTTTTTTTTAATACATGCAAGAAATATTTAAGCAGAGCAATTCGAATACGTGACTTTCCGCTTGAACTACAAGCTCCTTGTGATTTTATCCTTTAGTTTCATTTTTGTAAATTTTAAAAGATTGAAGGGGTTGTGATCTTTGACATTGTTGGGAGTATGAATCCACCTCAAAGAAAGTACGACTTATAAATAAGTTAGACTACTTTTCATATCGTTAATTGATTTTATAATAGAACCTCAACTTTTTTAGACATCTAAAGCGCCCCCTCAATGGGAAAATCAAATTACTCTTCATACATAGTCTCCATTCTTCTGTATAAAACTGACAGAAGTCCTCCAAGAGGGTTAAAGCAAGGAAATAAGGAGCTGCGGAAAAATTTCTGGATCAGTCACTGATCACTTGTGATGGCGACGCAAAAGAAGTCGTATTTGATGCCATTATTTTTGTTTCGCTACGATTTTTTTCTTATTCCTTTTGCTCATTTCGTTAAACTGCAAAGCATCATATGCTACCTAGTATTATATGCTTACAGTAACGTAGCACATAAGCAAATAAAAATAAAAGGATAATACTTGCATCCCCAATGTGGAGGATGCATATATTCTTTATTTGTGAATAACATATCTTAACTAAATAAATTAAGGATTGGAACAATTCAATTTGTTGATCTTCATATGAAGATCACTCCTAGAAAAAAGCATTCAAATTGAAGATTGTTTTCTCAACCACACGTATCAAATAAATGGACGGTTCATCGTGAATAAAACATATCAAATAAACGGACGATTCATCATGAATAAAACGTATCAAATAAATGGATAATTCATCGTGAATATGTTACTTAGTACCTACACCGTCGATTTGTTCTATACATTTGAATGACTAAATGATCTCCGATTGAAATGATTTTGTAGAAGTGTTCTTCAAATGACGATTAAGAAATTGAACAATTCTAATTATTCAATCAAAATACATCATTCGCAAATAAGAAAATTTGTGCATCCCTGCATGGAGATGCAAGTAGTATTCATAATGGAATGCTAGAGAACAAAATTAATTGATTTTTTTCTCTTTCTCATCAATCTATCAAATTGTTGAAGGATTTTTCCTTTTTAGGAGGGTAAATGCACACATCATATAAACTAAATGGCAAAAGGCATATAAATGACATTTTACCGTGGTGACAGAAAATAATGATATTTATGCATCATGGAGTGGGTTCGATTCCACCGACTCCCTTTTCTTCTAATAACTAACTACATCCACTACTGCTAGCTTTTGTTAAAAAAAAAAAATGCATAAAACTGTACTTTATATACAGTATATATATTCTCTCTCTAAGCACTTTTCTACATATGCTATTAAAAATATATCAAAAAATTTATTAACCGTCTATTTTTCTTTTTTGAATTTTTGACATACGATAATCATAGCCGTTCATTAAATCAGTTTTGTACCATGACAACCTTTAAATTGAATAAAAAAAATTTTCCTAAAAATCATCTTGATAATAAGCAGTACTGGTTCTAATTATAAAGTTTAAATCGTAAAATGAAGCCAAATCGTTGTTCCAACGACTCCTTGCTTATAAATGGGACAGATTTTTCAATGTAATCGGTACGCGGGTGGTACATTACATGTCATTAAACAAATTATGGGATATGTGTGCTAAAATGTTAATATCTTAAAAAATAAAATTTCTTACCATTCCTATTAAAACACCCTATTAAAACACGTGGTGTTGCATTTGTATTTCTGTCACAACTAAAAATTTCTCGATAAATGAACCGCTGGACACCAAAGGAGGACGTCTGCGTCGCCAGTTGCTAGCAGCCAAACGGAGTATCTCAATGCAAGTATCCTAATCCCACTACAACCCAACCTTACCATTACATTTCAATACTTCCAAAATCGAAGGACATAAAAAACCCAATTCAACCAGAGGTCGGAGCAACCAATCAACCCAACCTTCAAAGATACATACATACATACATATATATATATATATATGTATATAGGGAAGTGTTTGTAACAACCCGTTCCGGGATTTACGTAAGAAAATGGGTATTTTTGTATTTTTCACTATGTTTGGGGCATACCTTCCTTTTTAAAATTGTTTTTGATCCTTAATTGGTGAGCCCAAGAGGCCCACCCCTGTTTTGTCCCCCGGTTCCCTTCCCTTTTCTATTTTTTTCTGAAAAGTCTTCTCCTTTCTTCTCTCTTTCTTCCTCCGTGCTCTCTCTTTCCCCCTTCCTCTCGGTGCTCTTTTCTCCGAGCAGAACACACCCACACACACACACACACACCCATGCCCACGCCTATAACTCTTTTCTAACCCCGTGGTTGTGTTTTGGGACGTCAAACCACGAAGAAACCACCTCGGGAGACATTTCTCAGTTTTCCGGCGAGCACCGCCCCTTTCGAGGCGATTTCCGGCCAAACCACGGCGAGTTGGCCGGCGTGCGAGGTATCAATCTCTTCGTCTCGCTGAGTACTACAACTTTCCTTCTTGTTTCACCTAATTTCATTGAGTATTGAAGAAGTTATGCTCATTTGAAAACTTACCCAGTTTCCGGCGAACACCCGTGGCTTCCAGGCTGTTTTCCGGCCAACTCCGACCACGATGACGGGAACCAAGGGTATATTTTGATTCCTTACCTTCGGGGCTTCAATTTGGTATATTGAATGACATGTTTTGGTTGAGTTTTGAGCTCCAACGGAGCTTGGGAATTCTTCGGCCGAAATCCGGCCTTCCCCCTCCTTGGAATCTGGCGACCACCAAACCCAAAGGCCTTAGGGCCTAGGTTGCAGCCCAAAACCCATATCCCCTTTTTAATTAGGCCTTGGGCCGTGAGGTTCAAAAACCCAAACCCATTTTCCTTTTTACCCAAACCCAACCCACTTAAAAAAAAAAACCTAACCCTAAACCCATTAGACCCAAACCCTTAGGCCCAACCCGGATCCAACCCAAGTCCAAACCCAATTCACCTAAAACCTAAACCCATTTACCCTAACCCAAACCCTAAAGCCCAAACCCGTGACCCTGACCCGTTGACCCGGACCCTGACCCGTTGACCCTGACCCGTTGACCCGGTCAACGGTCAGCGTTGACTTTGACCTCGGGGTTGACTTTTTGGGTTTTCGTACGGGACCCCTCCTAGGCTAATTTCGACGTCCTGAACCCGTTTCCGATGTCCGTTTTCCCAAATTCAATTGTTTGCGTAGAGTTTGACTAAATGTACCATTTATGTGCTTAGGGGCAATTATCGATGGCGTTTCCTTCTTCGCTAGATGACGTGGCTTTTCAACGGCGAAGTACTATGAGTGGACCTCTTCTAAAAAATGCATGTTTTAATGGTAGAATTGCTTACACAGAAAAGCATGACTTTACGATTATGTTTTATGAAACGTTTTGAGATAATATGCTTACTGAGGCTAGTTTGAATTATTACTATTTTTCCTATAACCCATGTTCTTATAGAATATCTGATGGATGACGATATGATATGTAGAACATGTTTAGAACACTTCTTTATAGTATAGATGATGGATGACTTTATACTATGAAGTTGATTTTCAATATATGTATGTTCACTGGTTTTGTACTTACCTAGTGGTCATTTCCGCTACGGGACGTAGGGATAGATCCGGTCCGTTCCGGGCGACGGTTTGGTGTTGGCATAGGGCCTGGAGTGTGTTTTCCTCTGACTGTCTGCTCAGAGACGGGGAGCCGGCATGGGGCCTGAAGTGTATTTTCCTCTGACTGTCTGCTCAGAGACGGGGAGCCGGCATGGGGCCTGAAGTGTATTTTCCTCTGACTGTGTGCTCAGAGATGGGGAGCCGGCATGAGGCCTGAAGTGTTATATCGGACATTCACTAGTGTTTATTATTTATGCGATTTATGATTTGAGATATTGCACGACATGCTAGGTTTCGGAAAACCTATGTTTATCGTTATATATAAGTGTTTTCATAAAACCTGGGGGTTAGTATGTTGATAAATGCTTTATTATATATATATATCAACTTGGTCCACTCATGTTTGTTTTGCGCCCCCTTCAGGACTTAGAATCGAGGCATACAATCCCGACGTCCAGGCACTTCCGCATCGGCATCTTCGAGTCCTCTTGGTGTAGGACCCACTCCTTGGTTTCATTCAATTTTATATTATTTTCTTTTAGTGTTCTAGATTAGTGGTGTGCTCTGAACACAGTCCTTATTTGCATATTCATTATTCTTTTATATTTATAAGCCTTATTTATCCTTTGTTTTCAACATTTGCACTCAATAAATGGCTTTCGTCACCCTCGGGTGTCGGCCAGCACGTGCCTATCCTGGTATTCGGGGAATGTCGGGGTCGGGGCGTGTCAGTGTTACTAGCATTCCAAAAATATATATATATTTTTTTTTTTACACCATCTTTTATAAAACACTTTGGCCTTGTTTGGCACGCGGATAACACACCGAATATCATTCATGATACGAAAGTAGTTGTTTGTTGCGCTTTCGTACTAAATAAGCATCCGCTTAATTATCCGGTACATCAAATTTTATCCGGTTGACACCGGACTATTAAAACACCGCAAAAGCTCGGGATAATTAGTCGGGCCGCATTCTCTCCTTCTTCACGAAGCCGCCCTTAACAACTTCTCAAAGTGGGATGTCGAGCAGTTCCTCGACGAGTTCTCCTCCCCGGCCGCCACACCTCTACAATCAGTTCCAAGCAATTACCTGTCTGGTTCGCCGCTTCCTATTCTATCGCGTCTCAGTCGTCGACATCGAAGTGCGACGATGTGGACGAAGATGTAGTTCAGATCAAGAAGGCCAATCTTCATCGTCAACAACAACAAACTCAGCAGCTCAATCATCCCGCAGCCAACGGCGTTGGATTGCGGGGGGCTTCGGCTATCTAGATCCTGACCACTGCATTAACTTTCAACTCACCGATAAGATTGACGTTTACAGCTTCGGAGCTATTCTGTTGGAGTTGTTGACTTCTCAGAAAGTTATGGATTTGAACAGAGGAGAAGAAGATATGATTTTGGTGTTGTACATGAAGAGGGTACTAAAAGAAGAGAGGTTGATGGATATAGTTGATTCAGTTATTAAGAAGGGAGCTGGCAAGCTAGAATTGCAGACGATGAGGCACTGGGATTTCTCGCACAATCGTACTTGAATGATAAGAGGCGCAATCGTCCTTCAATGAAAGAAGTTGCTGATGTTAACTCCGACGACTTCGGTTAACTCGAACTAGTAGCACGAATTGATTTCTTTTCTTCATCAATTTGCATCTTCAATTTAATTAGTAGTATTGTTTTAGTGATGAATCGATGTGGGTCTTGGGACATTGAAGAAATTAGGAAGGGTCACAATTAAATGCTTTTTATATTTTTAAAAGTAAAGCAATCTTGCTTTACGTAAAAAACATTTAATTATGATCGCACGATCTTTGATGAACGGTTTTTGTGTCTTGATCCTCGGGATCCCCAGGGAGGGGATTCGGAGACGATCCGAATCCCATTTTAACAACAATTATTTTGAGAATTTTTTAAGAAAATTATTATAGTCCGACGTATTATTCAATGTACATATTAATCCAACAGAACATCAAACGGCCGACTAATTTAGTCAGTACTATCCGATGACTATTTATCACATCTGACTGAAATAGTCAGTACAATCTGAGCTGCTAAACGAGACATTTGAAAGTTGCAATTAAGATGTTGTGGTAATGGAGAGATTTTTCAGTGTGATCGGTACACGAGGTGGTACACCACGTGTCACTATACAAATGGTGAGATATGTGTGCTAAAAAGTTAATAGCTTAAAAAATAAAATTTCTTACCATTTCTATTAAAACACGTGGTGTATCACTTGTGTTCCCGTCACAAATAAAAATTTCTCCCTTTGTTGAGGTTGTAATTTGTTCTTTTGATTTACAATACTGACAACACCTATAGCTTCCCTGCTTTGCATGACTGAAGTGGAGCGGTATATTAGCGACGGTTTATTTGTTTAGTGTCCATCCAATTCTATTTTTTTATTAAAAGTTTGTAACCTGTTATATTTGTCATGAATATAACTTTCCTAGTCTGCTGAGGTGGTATGTTTTGTTATTTGCATTATTATTGTTCGTTTCATATGCATATGTTCCTTGGAATGCAAGTCAATTTAGTGCTCAGGAACTATATATTTTTTATTCTCAGAAACAAGTTGCTAATTCAAAACCATAAGTTGTTTCTCTTGCAGCTCTCTGATCTCATCGTACAATTCTAATCTTTGATTTTATTCAATCAAAATACATTATTCGCAAATAAAAAAATATACCCAACCTACATGGAGATGCAAGTAGTATTCATAATGGAATGCTAGAGAACAAAATGAATTGATTTCTTTCTTTTTCTAATCAATCTATCAAATTGTTGAAGGATTTTTCTATTTTAGGAGGGGCATATAAATGACGTTTTACCGTAGTGACATAAAATAATGATGTCTATACGTCATGGTGTGGGTTCGATTCCATCGACTCCCCTTTCTCCTAATAATTAACTATTTTATCCACTACTGCTAGCTTTTGTGTAAAAAAAAAAATTGCATAAAACTGTATTTTATATACGGTATATTCTCTCCCAAAGCACTTTGCTACAAATGATATTAACAATATATCAAAAACTTTATTAACCGTCTATTTTTCTTTTTTGAGTTTTTGACATACGATAATCATAACCGTTTATTAAATCACTCTTGTGCCATAGCAGCCTTCAAATTGAATATTTTTTTTCCCTAAAAATCATCTTGATAATAAACAGTACTAGTCTAATTAAAAAGTTTATATTGTAAAATGATGCCAAATCGTCGTTGCGAGGACTCCTTGCATATAAATGGACCGCTGGACACCAAAGGAGGACGTCTGCGTCCCCAGTTGCTAGCAGCCAAACGGGAGTATCTGTCATCCGAATCCAAGTATCCTAATCCCACTACAACCCAAATGTCAAATCGGTTAGAAAATTAGTTATTATTTTATTATTGTTTATGGTTTTCTTGTAGGCTAAGGATATTAGAGTTTCTTGATCGTTAAGAATTAGAGTTTTGTTTTAGTTTTCATTATATATATTAGTGCTTGTATTAGTTAATTTCAATTAATCAATGACAATAATTTTTCCCCATACTTTTCATCTAAATCAACCCAACCTTCCCACTAAATTTCAATACTTCCAAAAACGAAGGACGGAATAAAAAAAACCCAACTCAACCAGAGGTCGGAGCAACCAATCAACCCAACCTTCCCAGAATTGTTTTCTTTTTTTTTTTTTTTTCCGCCATCTTTTGTAAAATACTTTTTTACAACACTTTGAAAGTTGCAAGTAAAATGATTTGGTGATGTCTCTTCAGTTCTCCAAATGTCTCCCCTTTACCATGCATTATGCCATTAACCGCCCACTTGGTTTCTCTCTCCCTCTCGCTTCATTTGATATTAATGTTAATTACTTTTTTAATTGTGTTTTGTGGAAGATAGCATTTGTATCCTCTGCTGAGGTTGTAATTAGTTCTTTTGATTTACAATACTGACAACAACTATAGCTTCCCTGCTTTGCATGACTGACGTGGAGCGGTATATTAGCGACCGTTTATTTGTTTAGTGTCCCTCCTGTTCTATTTTTTTATTAAAAGTTTGTAATCTGTTATATTTGTCGTGAATATAACTTTCCTCGTCTGCTGAGGTGGTATGTTTTGTTATTTGCATTATTATTGTTCGTTTCATATGCATATGTTCCTTGGAATGCAAGTCAATTTAGTGCTCAGGAACTATATATTTTTATTTTCAGAAAAAGTTGCTAATTCAAAACCATAAGTTGTCTCTCTTGCAGCTCTCTGATCTCATCGTACAAGTTAACTGTAATAAATGGAGGAGGAGAACCCTGTGGATGGAGATGTAATCAAGAAGCAGGTCACGGCAACATTAAAAAGACACTCGACAATGCAGGATTCCCAAAACAGCAAGCAAGATTCAAGCAAGAACAAGGAGGATGGCACCAAAACAGTACCATATTACAAGCTTTTCTCATGTGCGGATACCTTGGATCACATGTTAATGTCTGTTGGTACAATCAGTGCCATTGGAAATGGGCTCTGTACGCCTCTAATGACCGTAATCTTCGGAGAGGTGATTAATTCTTTTGGAAGAACTGGGAATACCAAAGAAGTGGTGGATGCAGTTTCCAAGGTAAAATTATGCAACTACAAATTACATCAACGACTGCAGTTTCGTTGCTAAAATAGAATAATCTTCCGTTGAGAATGAATCCCTCATGGATGGGAAGAGGGACCTTGCGTGGCCTTATAAGTTAGATGGGCTACTCCCCGTATAGCTAATTGGTTTAATGGTGGAACCTCAACTTTCTTCATCTTCCTCCACCAAATAAATTCTGCATTGAGTAACTCTTTATATTTGGAAATTGTGCCACAAGCAATTGTTATTGACTAGGTTTAATCGAAAATAATTTGGCCAACTCGATATCCTCAGGTGGCTCTAAAGTATGTTTACTTGGGTATAGGTGCTGGAGTTGCTGCATTTCTACGTAAGTATTACTGAACTCCCTGCTGGTATTAAACAAATAACCTGGCTTATCGGAAACTGACATAACCAGCCTTTTCCATGTGCCAGAGGTATCTTGCTGGATGGTTACTGGAGAAAGACAAGCTGCACGAATACGAAGTTTGTATCTGAAAACAATATTGAGGCAAGATGTTGGCTTTTTCGATACAGAAACGAACACTGGGGAAATTGTTAAGAGAATGTCAGGTGATCCTGTGCTCATTCAAGAGGCCACAGGCGAGAAGGTATTTACACGCCACACAAAACCCTTAAGGTTTGCCGTTTTCCCTGGTATCCTCTTAATTTTAAAATTTTAAAATTCGTTTTCTTATTGCAGGTAGGAACTGTTATCCAGTTAATTGCAACATTTATTGGAGGCTTTGTTATAGCATTTGTTAAGGGATGGCTTCTTGCCCCTGTCATGCTATCTTCTATTCCCCCTCTTGTCCTTGCTGGTGCCATCGTGGCCATCCTTGTATCGAAATTGGCAACCCGTGGACAAGCTGCTTATTCAGTGGCAGCAACTGTGGTGGAGCAAACGATTGTTTCAATTAGAACTGTATGCCTACTTGTCCATAAAATATTAATGATGTCTTTGGATAGAGCAAAAACTGATGGGAATACCCAATGCAGGTTGCATCATTCACAGGAGAAAAACAAGCTATATCTAATTACAACAATTCCTTAATTGATGCTTACAACTCTGCTGTGCTAGAAGGTTTGGCGTCTGGGTGTGGAATTGGTTCGGTTCTGCTTATTATGATGTGTAGTTATGCTTTGGCTATATGGTTTGGAGGAAAGATGATTCTTGAAAGAGGATATACAGGAGGAGAAGTAATAAATGTACTTTTCGCGGTATTGACTGGCTCCTTGTAAGTTGCACTTCGATAAAATTTGATGAATACATTTGGTAACATGTCTTTGTTTTTTAGTGCCCAGTAAGAATGAAATTTTTATTGACTACTCCCCTTCCCCCCTTCACTCCAAAATTAGATATTTGATGTTTAAGTATCAAGATATGATCATGTATATGTATTTTCAGGTCTCTTGGGAATGCATCTCCGTGCATGAGTGCATTTGCTGCTGGACAAGCTGCAGCCTATAAGATGTTTGAGACGATTAACAGAAAGCCAGATATAGATGTTTATGACACTAATGGGCAGCAGTTACGGGATATACGTGGAGAGATAGAACTGAGGGATGTTCATTTTAGTTATCCTGCAAGGCCTGATGAACAAATATTCCATGGATTTTCTCTCTCAATACCTAGTGGTGAAACTGCTGCTTTGGTTGGAGAAAGCGGAAGTGGTAAATCAACTGTAATCAGTTTGATTGAGAGATTTTATGACCCCCAAGCTGGGGAAGTTCTTATTGATGGCATTAATCTCAAAGAGTTCCAGCTGAAATGGATCCGACAGAAAATAGGCCTCGTCTGCCAGGAACCCGTTTTGTTTACTTGTAGCATAAAAGATAACATCGCCTATGGGAAGGACGGTGCAACTAACGAAGAAATAAGGGCCGCTGCAGAGCTTGCCAATGCTGCTAAATTCATAGACAATCTACCTCAGGTTAAATTCGTTGCTTTTATCTAAGTTTCTCATAATTTTTACTATGAAGTTTTTCCGCAATGATGAAAGCTTGTTGAGACATCCAGTGATCTTTCATATTTTTATTTTCCTCTATCGTCATTTTGTGACATGCTTTTAGGGACTAGACACAATGGTTGGTGAGCATGGGACTCAGCTTTCTGGGGGCCAAAAGCAAAGAGTTGCTATAGCTAGAGCAATCCTGAAAGACCCGAGAATTCTACTTTTAGATGAAGCCACAAGCGCTCTTGATGCAGAATCTGAGAGAGTTGTGCAGGAGGCATTAGACAGAATTATGATTAACCGCACTACTGTCATTGTAGCCCACCGTTTGAGCACAGTAAGAAACGCTGACACCATTGCTGTTATACACAGAGGGACAATCGTTGAAAAAGGTAATGCGTTATTCACTTTGTCCTGTTCTACCATTTGAGTGCCAAATCTTACTGTCAGTAGTTCAACAATCATTTGTGTGACAGCTATTACTGTTGAATGTTCGTCAATAATTACTCCACATACCCATTTTTTGAACCGAGCAGGTCCACATTCTGAGCTAGTTAAGGACCCTGAAGGAGCATATAGCCAGCTTATAAGGTTGCAAGAAGTGAACAATACGTCAGACAAGACTGCTGTGAATGATCAGGAAAGGCGTAGTCGAGTGGATTCCCAGAATCAAAGTCAAATAATTTCACACAGACGATATGTAAGTCGGGGGTCATCTAGAGGAGGAAATAACAGGCGTCATTCCTTCTCAATCTCATATGATGTGCCCGCTGCACTAGGTGTCCTTGAAGTAGCACCTGCGGAATCCGATATTCCTGCTTCAGAATCATCAAGAGTACCTCCAGAAGTCTCACTTCGCCGCCTGGCATACCTGAACAAGCCAGAGATCCCAGTTTTATTACTAGCTACTATAGCTGCAATAGCCAATGGGGTAGTCTTCCCTATTTTTGGGCTAGTGTTTGGCAATGTAATCAAGACCTTATTTGACCCACCTCATCTACTCCGTAACAATTCCAAGTTTTGGGCATTAATCTTCATTGTTCTTGGTGTGGGGTCTTGCATAACATTTCCATCAAGACAATACCTTTTCGCTGTGGCGGGAAGTAGGTTAATAAAACGAGTCCGATCAATGTGCTTTGAGAAGGTGGTTTACATGGAAGTAAGTTGGTTTGAAGATCCTGAGAACTCAAGTGGTGCAATTGGTGCAACGCTTTCTGCAGATGTGGCTTACCTGCGAGGGTTGGTTGGAGATGCTCTTGGTTTGGTGGTTCAGAATTTAGCAACTGCAATTGCTGGCTTGCACATTGCGTTTGTTGCAAATTGGCAACTCACTCTTATAATCATTGTTTTGTTGCCTCTTTTCGGGGTAAATGGTTATTTTCAATTCAAGTTCATGAAAGGATTCAGTGCAAATGCAAAGGTAATATCTCCGAAGTCCAAACTTTGTAACACGATCCAGTCTCACATGCATAATTTAATATAAGACTAAGCCAGTTTTATCAATACGGAAAATTCTAAATGGTTGCAGAGAATGTATGAGGAGGCAAGTCAAGTAGCAAATGATGCTGTAGGAAGTATTAGAACAATTGCTTCCTTTTGTGCCGAAGAGAAGGTGGTTGAATTGTACCAGAGAAAATGTGAAGGCCATATTAAGACGGGGATAAGACAAGGCTTAATCAGTGGGATCGGATTTGGTGTATCATTATTTTTGCAATTTTCTGTGTTTGCCTGTATTTTTTATGCTGGATCCCGACTTGTTGCAGAAGGCAAGACAACATCTGCTGATGTTTTCCGGGTATATTTTCTCCCTTGCACAACAAGTTTTAAGTAGAAAATAGTACAGAGTGCTTCTGCTAAATAAGTTTTTATTACTTAAGATTGAAATCTTTGTATTCCATGCAATACATATTGAATTTTTGCTCTTCTGGTTTGTAGGTTTTCTTTGCTCTCACTATAGCAACTGTTGGAATTTCTCAGTCGGATTCCCTGGCCCCCGATATTAGTAAAGGAAGGAGCGCTGTTGCATCCATATTTGCAATTCTCGACCGGAAATCAAAAATAGATTCCAGTGACGACTCTGGAACAACTATAGAAAATCTGAAGGGAGAAATTGAAATATGCCATGTCAGTTTCAAATATCCAACTAGGCCTGATGTGCCAATCTTCAAGGATCTTTGCTTGACCATCCATCATGGCAAGGTAACTTACTACCATGTATTAATCAATTTCATTCAATGCATAAGATTTGGACCTCATAATTGGATTTAAGTTACCAGAACTTATAACGATCTTATATTGTTCAGACGGTTGCTCTGGTAGGAGAAAGTGGAAGTGGAAAATCGACAGTAGTCTCATTGTTGCAGAGATTTTATGACCCTGATTTGGGTCACATTACACTAGATGGAATCAAAATCCAAAAGCTACCGTTGAAGTGGTTGAGCCAAGAGCCTGTATTGTTTAATGACACTATCCGAGCCAACATTGCATATGGAAAGGAAGGGATTGCAACAGAGACTGAAATTATAGCTGCTGCAGAATTGGCAAATGCTCACAAGTTCATTTGTAGTTTACAACAGGTAGGCACTAACTTAACAACTTTGTCTATATATGCACACATAGAACCGGTCACAAACTTTTGATTAGAAGTAGAAACTGATGGGTCACTAAACAGACAATAACGGTAGACTTAAACAACGGTTTATATACATACGACTTATTATCCGTATAGTGCCTCCCCTGTTTTATTTTTGATTAAAAGTATGGGTAAACACACAATTTTGGTCACTGTGCTTAAGCCTGATATCACATTTTGGTCACAAACGTTTCAATTTTACCAATTCGGTTTATGTGTTCTCTATTTTTGCATGTTTCCTTACCGGTGTGTTGCATTAACGAGGACTAGTTGATAAAAACTTACAAACAATATTAAGAACGTTGAAGATTATACATGTTAAATTTTGAAAACAATGCAGGGTTACGATACAATCGTAGGAGAGCGTGGGGATCAATTGTCTGGTGGACAGAAGCAAAGGGTGGCAATTGCAAGAGCGATAATGAAGGCACCAAAGATATTACTACTAGATGAAGCCACAAGTGCTCTTGATGCTGAATCCGAACGAGTTGTTCATGACGCATTGGACCGAGTCAAGGTGGATCGAACCACAGTGGTGGTTGCTCAGCGGTTATCCACGATTAAGAGTGCAGATTTGATCGCGGTGGTGAAAAACGGAGTGATTGAAGAAAAAGGAAAGCATGAAGCTTTGATCAATATCCATGCTTCTTTGGTTGCACTGCATGCAAGTGCCTCATCTTAGAGGGCCTTTCTATTCTTCTTCTGAACTACTGCAGTAAAAAAAACAAAACTCCAAGGAAGAAAAGTATGTAATGTAATTTTATGCAGTACAGCAATGCAACCCTTTGTAAATAAAGTTTGTTTGATTTGCATAGATTTCATGCTCAACAAGAATTACCATTTTAAAAGGTTGAAAGGGTTGGAGCCTTTGACATTTGAAGTGCGAGAGAACCTTACCTACATCTGGAATGCTATATTGATGGTATTTGAACCCAATCATGTATTACATAAATAAAAATAATAATAATAATAAATAAATATAACAAAGTGATAAAAACAGTGCATGATTGACTTAATATGCCGTCAGCATGTCACCCGACGTGAGTTTTTTCTCTTGTAGTGCCCCATCAACAACCCAATTCTTCCATTCACAAAACAGCATAAGTGGATTAAACTTTACTCAAAGTCTCCAGCAATCGTAGAAAACAAAGTTAAGCCAAGTTTCTTGCCTTGCAACTTGCTTTGCAAGCTCATACAAAACCAATAGCAGTAAGTATTTCATTTCTTATCAAATCCTTTCTTAAAATTTCTTTTTCCATCAATGAACTCATCATGCAAACAAGATTAGCTTGATGACTGAGACTGTGACTAAGACTTCCATTGCCATCACAGAACTCTTCCACCTACCTCTGATCTGATCCACTACATATTTCAAACCGCCATTTCCACTAAACAAAGATCTCAGCTTCACTTTTAGGAGAGAGATTTCCCTACATCTTTGATAACATGACATCTCAAATTAATAATGCAGTACTTTATGAAAAAAGTAAAACACATAATATTACAACATTTATTCGGAAACCACAATGGCTTACCAGGGTGTAGGTGAATCTTCATTTACATGGATCAAGTTCACTCCCATTATAATGCATGTTCCAATTAAATAATAACACGTACAATTTCTCAACCCCTAACGTTGTATTATTAAATCAAAACGTCGTGTGACAATGACCATATTCCAAATAAATTGCTCTCCGCTTTTAGGCATCACAAGTGGGGCTAAATCCCGCTGTTTTTATGGGCATTCTGTACATGGAAAAGTTGCAAGTAAGAGAAAAGTAGAGAGGATGAGGTAATCAAATAGACCTTTTATTATTATGTGATATATTTGAAGTCCCACAACTACAACCTTCCACCACCTTTCAACTACTTTCTGGACACGTTTTAAGGATCGTTGTTATTTGATAAAAACTGAGTATCACTTGGTCTTTACACACCATCATGCAATATTATGAAACTAATAATAATGCTAGGGTCAAATGGCCTTCCCATAAACATACAAAACCCTAATCTTTTTTACAAATTTTATGATTTGGGACCCATGAGTACCATTCTTTTGTTGAACTTAAATCGAAAGATTGCGAATCTGAGCCACACACTAAAATAAATACCCACTAATTCAGCAAACTTTCTTTACAAAAAAATGGTCGGTTTTTGCTTGGTTCTCAAGCTACAAGCGATAAGCATGATATTATGATAAAGCATGCTCTAGAAAATCATCGAAATGCAATATTTATAGAAGCACGAATGTCTCTAGCTACAAGCATTAATTTGGTGAAACTAACTGATATATACATGTTTCAGGCTTAAATATTTTTCTGGGGAGTAAATTAGAAAATGACGTTTCAGTCAACCTTCCCAGTGTAAATGCAAGCATTAAGCACTAGTTAAGGATTTGATTTGATTAAGCAAGTGGATTAGAGAAATCCCTAATCAATTTAAAACGAAACAAAGCATCGATATATCATCTCTCATATATATGTCACATTCAAAACAAAAAAAAGTTACTTAATACTACTGTTTAGTGGTATTCTTTTTCTCTTGTAAGTGAGATGTCTTAAGTTTGATTCTCGCCAAAGACGAATTTGAACCACATTATTACTAGTCCATTGTAAGGCTTAGCCCACTCCCTCATCTCCTTAGTGTAGTTAACAGAAATCCTGTGATGTGAAATTGCAACTGACCAACCAATTTATAATATTATTCAACTATATATCTTTCTTTTTTTTCTTTTTTTTTTTTTGTCAAGGAGCTATATATCTTATGAACTTTGCATATACTTTTCAAGTATTATTCCCTTCAAAGGGAATCCCATTTCCCCAGTTCTATTTCTAATCCAGCTCTATGATCGATCATTCATTCTTCAATTTCCTCTTGTTAATCAGTTAAAGTTGATCGATCATTCGTTTCAAATATTGATGCCTAATTGCATACTTAAATTTGCTAATGGGGTGATCTACAGCTTTCAGGTACACTGGTCTGAATGCAGTAATCTAGATTTCATGCATCGTCTTTAAGCTTTGTTTTTAAACCTCTTTTTACTACTACTTTGCATTGTGTTTAGCTGTTTCGCAGTACTGGGCTGGTTAGGTGTTTATGATTCATTATATTGAGGCTATATTGAAGGAATAAATGAAGGAGTTTCGTCTAACTTGAAAGTTGAAAAGAATTATTCGTGAACGAAACTTATTCCTACCACTCCTCATATAATAGTAGAATCAGAAGGGATAAAGTTTGGTCATGTCTAATCCCTAATAATCATACAACCAAGAAAAAGTCATTTATACTCCCCTCAAAATGAAAAAGCATTTACTCTTCTTAGAACTGTTAGGGGAAATGATTTATGCACATTTTTTTTCTTCTTCTGCACACTACAGTTTATTTGTATCTTTCTTGGTTTTTCTTTATTTTACTCAATTAAAAAATAAACAAGAATATGCATAACGAAAAATCATGTCTCCGAAAATCACTTCGCAAGAAGTAAAAACGCTTTCAGATAGCCATAACTTTATCAAGGTTAGCTACCCCTTGTGCAAAATTAAAATTTGTCAATATCCCAGATTCCCAATGAAGATTATTAGGCCATCAGCCATGTTAAGGTGGTCCAAATACTGTCAATTGGAGACAAAAACATGAGCTAGTTAAGGCAATTGAGAAATAAGTATAACGTCTTTGTAGTAAATGGAGGGCATGCAGTGCACAATGGAATTTTAATTTTCTCTTATCTTTGAGCCTTTGAATCTCTTCGGTGGCTTTCAAATCCAGCGCATGCAGAAGCACTAGTCCCATTCTTCACAGGCTCACAATTACTCACTCTCACATGCACTGTTGCATGTATGGTTTCATTCCAAAAGGTTTCACGGGTCAGCTATGTATTTAGTGCTGCATGCAACTGGTAGCTGGCTCTTATAATTTTGTACATATTGGGCATGTGTGATGCACATCAATCTAATACATAATATTAACAAAATTTCAAGCCTATATGTTCTTTTTGATTGTACATATTAATTGGGCATGTTTGATGCCCCATTTTGTATCTCTCTTAATATTTCTTTGATTTGTTTAATCTAAAAATTGAATAGAAAAATAAATTATGTGGAGAAATCACTTTTCCTCTTTCATACCATTTTTCCAATCCGAGTTTGGAACGTTGAACGATAGAACTCTATCATGTAACTGCTTAAAAATGGACTTCTTCACCCATTTTGCAGAGTCTTCAAGTGTCAGACTCATTCAACATTCTCTCACATCACCTAATAAGAATTGTCTAGAAGTTCAGTGCAAAAAAATTTAAAAAGTTATGATTATTAAACTTGGATTATATATTTTCTAATATGATATCATAGCAGAGTTTTCATGTAGTTGGCTTATAATGTCTCTATATGCTCCCACATTAGGCCAAAAGACTTCAAAGTTCTTAAGTTTCGTAGTACACCGTCACATAATTCTACTAATCATGCATCATAGTTCTTGTTACATGCAAACTTAAAAACTAACCAGTCTTATTAGCATCTAGATCTGTAAAATGGGCTTGGACCTGGTCGGCCTGACCCTATGCCAAATATGTAAGTCCCTGGCCTAGCCGACGGGCCAAGAAAATTCGGGGCTATGAGCAGAATGCTCACCCCGACCAATTTATTACCTTTTAATCATTTTGTGTAAATATAAAAAATAGTATGTTGTTGAGAATTATACTTAAGACTTTATTTTTATTAGTTGTCAATGATCATTTCAACTAAGTATTTGTTTGGTTAATATAGTCGATTAAATTGTTTAAGTATTGAAAAAAAAGTTAATAATATTCAAAAAAAATAAAAGTATTTAAATTACATCAAGCCGTATCGGGTCGGGCCGAATAACTGGGCCTAAGAGTCGGGCCTAAATCATCCCATGGGCTGGCATATGGCCTAAAATGCAAGGCCGAGGCCCTACCTATTTAAATTGGGCGGGATAAAACCCGAACCTAAGACCAAATCCAATTCTGGACTAAATGCTATTTTTTAGGTTTTATTTCTCCTCCCCCCTTCCGGTCCAGGATTTAGCCTAAAAAATGGTATGGGCACCACCAGCAGGACCCCACCCACATGGACATGTCTCCCAGGATTTAATTAATCCAACGACTGAGATCGAATATAATCAAATCTAACGGTAAAAAAAAAATCTAACGGCCCAAATTTAAATCTAACGCCTAAAATAATTTAAAAAAAATTATTTAACTCAAAATTCACCCAAATTTAGTGATTTTTCAATATTTATCGGAATTTAAATATTTTTAGGTAAAAAAGTTCATAAAATTAAATTATGATAGTGTGCATAATTTTTTTTTAATTACTTTAAAAGAAAAAATTAGTCTGAATTTATTCTTTAATAATCTCAGGTTAAAAAATTTAGACCAAAAGGGCTGAAGTAGAAAAACTATTTCTAGGCTAAAAATTTTAGATTTTAACCCAAAGGTTGGAGATGATCTAAGATTGAATGAGGCCATCCGACAATCCCAAAAATGGGTCGGGACTCGGGGCGGCCCAGTGAGCCTCGGTCCTTTTTACAGGCATATTATCATCACATGGATTCACATTGGTACTTGAAACTACTTTTTGTCATATATGCATACACATGAATCGCGGTGATTCTTGGTGATTCAGAAGAATCATATGATGAACATATCATGCATGCCCCAAACTGAAAGTACTTTTCATTTCATTCAGCTACAGGGCCGGCATAAACAGATCGTTTCATAATTCACATGCAGATGCAGGCCACTTTTCGTCTATGCATGATGGAAAAGCACAAAGAGAAAGAGTAGAAGTTTGATTT